AGAGAGAGAGAGAGAAGGAGAAACACGTTCACGTGTGCATTACGCGCTCGTATATCTCGAATCCCCTCCGATCCAAACGAACGCGTAACCGGGCCCCATACAATCGCAAACAAAGCGAGCGGCGCACGCGGACCTGTACGCGAGAGGCTGCATGCGCGATAGCCGGAGCACTTCGGCTATCTGCCGCTATTCATCCATCCCGATGAATCCCGCCGCACCCTCGTTGTTGTCCGCGATCGGGGTACAGGTATTGTATGATTCGCGAAACGCAAGATGGATCCCTACACCGACTTTCAGATCGAGTTTTTGCGGGATGCCGTAATGAAATTTGTACTTCTTCTCCTATTGCATTTTCCTAAACAAATCGCAAGTGTACCGGAAATTTATATCTTAAATCGCTAATCACAACCTATTTTTTTCATCCCAGAAATTTCGACATTTTAACATTCTCAAATAGTATACTTATGTTTATAAAAATATTAGAAATCCTCCAAATCATAGCCCATATTTCATTTAAATAAATTTCGATGAGTTTCCTAAGTTTTATACCATTTTAAAGAAATTCGTTTATGATGTATTTGATAATATCTGATTTGCTTAGAGCAACATAGTATAAAAGAAATTATACAGAAAACCTAGAATTAAACAAATAGCCTGATATTTAGAATAGATTACTTCCATAATTTTTTATTTATGATCTCACAATTCTTGTTGCAATAATTCTTCACAGACGTCAAGTACACGAAATATGGAAATAAATATAATTATCAGCGCAAAAACATTTTGAAATTTATATAGAAATAAAAAACGATGACACTCTCTGTAAATTTGTGTAATGAATAACTCAAGAGACTACAAAATTGTTAATAAAAAGGAATTATACGATAAAAATATATAAAAATATAACTATTTCCTCAATTAAAACATGGTGGTAATGTAATTACTATTGATTAAATTTATGAATGCTACAAACATAACATCATGAGATCATATCTCATTTGAGAAATTCCGATGGAGTTGAGGTCAACAGCGCTTATCGCCTACTGTTATCCGTCAAATTTTATTAAAAATTTATTTTGGTTAAATATAGGCTTGTAACGCTTTTGTGAACGGGAGCGTAATCGCTGCGTAATTAGACTCATTGCGTCTTACTCGTCATCGCACGTGTCGTTATTTTATCGCTGGTTGTCAGTGCACTCCAGAATTAAGTAATGAACTGCGGAGTTTTTAAGATTTCTGATCGCCTTGAATTTTAGTGCTTCTTTGCGATTAGAAGAAATAAGATGTGGAAATTTTGCGATAATCCAAAGAGAAAGTTAACGTTCGTATTTAGCCCAGATTATCATTCTCTAATGACTTGTCATGCCGACCTTGACCTCAACGGATGTAATCTCGCTGATGAATAAGAATTTTTTTTTCAACAAATGCATTTTACATCCTAGCATTTGTCGATCAAAGTCAAGTATGATGATATCGTCTGCAAGTGGAAGCACGCGCTGTTAGAGCAATGTCATTCATATGTATTTTCATTGAGATAAGTTCGAAAGTATCGGGTCAGGCAGCCCCGTTGACAGATCGATATGCAGATCCATAAATCTCATAGAAACTTTAGACTGTAAATTTTAACAGTTTTAAAAACGTGATTGTGCGATTCTATAACGTATTCGATAGATAGGATATATAGGTAGGAATATGCTTTGAAAATTACGACTTGCAATTATATGACATGTACGTATCGCTAATGCGTTTGCATTCCAATGCGAGTAAATAATTAATTACATGAGCAAATAACAGATTTGTTTGCGTTCAGAGAGCTTAAAACCATACCAACCGTTCTAACTAACGAGCGTCCATCGGCATCATTTACATTGTTAAAGATTATACGAACACGCTGGTTTTTATCTGTATAATACCAACGCACTATCGCTCGTTTTCGCAAGTGAGCCGGAATGTCGAAACTCGACCGTCTCGTGTTTTGACACTTTAGAATCATGCTTTGTCTCGTACGCTAGTACGCTAAGGCGCAGTTAGTGACGCAACCCAAAGCACGCAGTATGTCTCCATTGTCGAGTTTTATGCACGCGCACCCGAATTCATTTGTGGCGAGCGGTGCCACGCGCAATTATAGGGTTGTCCACATACGTAAGGCGAGGTCGTGCCGGTATTTTCGAGTCGCAGCGCGCTAACGCGCCAACTAGATTTATACTAAGAGAGAGCAATTGGCTTTAATAAAATACCGTGATAGATACCGCATGGATTATCGCGCGGACAATATCGTTGAGCGCGATGCGATATAATGCACGTCGCGTACATAGTTTATAGGAGGGATGTAGCTTCAGCGCCCGTGCGACTGAAATAATTTATTATAGCGAGAACACTACTATAATGCAGCCTCGCTGCACCTTTAATCGCATAAAGGGCTTTTGTGCGTTTATATTATACCCCGGTTTTAATTATCTCCTCAAAGATGCGAAATTCTATGGAGTCCGCCGATGAATAGATTACAAGTTTGACTACACAGCATTTTTTAATACTTCATCTACTCGGGAAGAGATACGGCTCACAATTAATAAATTCTTTAGCAGAGATGTATATAACAATGAATGATACAACTCTGTATTCGCTTAATGCAAATGCATTAAAAGAGATACGATTTTTTTAAACATCCGAAGAAGATTATATATCATTAAATATCTCACGTCGTTAAATATCAATTACACATTTTAATCTGCTTCCGTATTTAGTTTTTCAGCGAGCTCTCTTGGATTGTCAATTAATTTAAATATCCCAACGGTCAAAGCGACGGTGTTAAAAGATCGACGGTATCTAGCAAACGCTGTAATTTATAATTTCATAAAATTGCACGTTCCTAAAATTGAAGACGCGTCGTATCCTCCAGGGAAATCGATTAAAAATAAAGCGAACGACGAGCGGCGGACATTCGCGCGTTAATTCGATATCGCCGTCTCTCGATTTCGTGTCGTTTGGCGATATGCGCTCTTGTTACGCAAATGCGTGCACGTAGTCTACCGTATCGATCAATCCCCGCGCCGAGCGGGTATCCTTCGGGAATCCGTACATTCCCGCTTATTATCACGGCACCCGAGATAATTCGATATTTTTGCCGAGCGAACGCGTACTCGGTAACCCGGCACGTAATTCAAGCCGTGCTCGGGAGGGTCGTTTTTAACCGAGGAACGTCGATTAACGAGACATTGTACCCGGAAGTACGTACGCGCGTACCTGCAAATCCCCAATCGCATTCACCTGATCCACAAAGCCTTCCGATATTACTGCATAAAAACTGCAGAATCATGTTTCTTCGAATGCCACGTAAGTAAACAATTTTTCCGTGATGAAGTAATGAGCGATAGACCAATTACACAGTTCACTTGTCGTGTCTCGTTATATCATTCAGAATTACCCATTAGTAGAAACAATCTTCGTAAACATTATTACAGATTAAGACACCCTCCTCGATCACGTTAAATGCCCGTTCCTCCTCATAAAATCCGCCTCGTACATACCTAATCGGCAAAAACTTCTGATTTATCGTTTCAAGGCTGAAAAGATTTGCACCATATGCGTCATTTATTTCGATTAATCGAGATAAATGTCAAGTATCCTTCTTCGCGTTCGTTCGCGAGGGAAGAAAGAACGCGTCGACGGATTTCGAGTGGGACCGCGCAAGATATTTCACGATATCGGGAAGCCTGCGGAGAATAGATGGGAACCCCATAGAGAAGCACGGAGATCGAGGGGGACAACGGGGAGGGTCACTGGGTCAGATGTGTAGAGAGCACGCTCCCTCCTCTCTCACAACCCTCGTTCGTTCGTTCGTTCGTTCGTTACATCTCCTCTCCTCTCCTCGTCTTTCTCTCTCTCTATCTCGACCTTCCGCCTCGAGCCGGTTCTCTTTCTCTTTCGCCGTACCGAACACATGGCCCCGTGTGTGCACGCCTGTACCCGGCCGCCTGGGCACGATTCACGCACTCACGCATGCACGTATTCACACAGCTCGACACGTACACGAATACGCACACGCTCCGGTCGCCCTCGCGTTATCACGCCGGCGGTCGCGTATCGCGAGATACAATGTCATGACGTGACTCCAATTACGCGCCGGCGAAGACTCGCATAAGCTCATGATCGTTACAGCTCGTGTAAGCGTAATTCCGCTTTTCGAGTCGCGCGTTAAGAGCCGCGTCGAGCCGGATCGATCCCGACGTGGATCCCTGCGACCGGCGAAGCTCCCCCGATCGTCGAACCTTCCTCCAGATGCACGACAAATCGCAATTCGCATTCATACGAGCACGCGCGCGTGCCGTTCGGCTCGTTGCACGCGTCATCGAAGTCGCTTCGGGTTAAGTTATATCGACACTCCGTGTCGATAAATCCGGAACATTGACGAAGAATTTTATATATTATTTTAATAGTTTATCGGATAGAGTTCGCAGCTCGTCTAAATTGTAATCTTTCTTCATTTGTCGATCTATATAAATTTTTAATTTATCGTGAAGCATTTTAAATTACACACAGATTAATTTCATTCGCTTGCCAATACATTATAGATTATGGTTTTACTTAAGAGAAAAAGAAATACCGTTTGATATTTTATTTTGATATTGTATCCTAGTACTTTTATCTTGTTGCTGTCATCGCGATAGAAGGTTTCGTATGATTACAAAGTCCGATTTGCTAAAAGAATTCATAAATTAAAACATCTACAGATGAAGTTAGGAGAGTGACAGATTAACCAGGATCATCTCTAATCCGACGGTTAGACACATGGCACATTTGCAGGTGATTGTTGTGCAGGATATCGCGATACAATCTCGCCGGTGCTTTTAAATCCCCGCATCGCGCATTGAAAACCACGTGTCCCGATATCTACAGGCACGCGAGGTCAGTTCACTCACCTGCCAAGCGTGCTCATATCATCCTGGCCGCGCGCTGGTAGCCTAGACTACCCCGTTGCCATTGACGTAACACTTGTCACGTATCAAAGAACGCACCTCCGCACAATGAATAAAACCGCCACTGACAAACCAAAGAGATCGACTAGCTAGAGCGATGGTCGGTCTCGCCCTATCGGAATCGACCGCGGATTCTCTCGCACTCTCGGTAGCTCACACCCGATAGCTCGGACGTCGTTCGGAGGATCGATGAACGAGATATCTCCACCGTAGTATCACCGGTCAAGTAGCACCGGTTTCTTCCACGCTACCTCATGACCCGGTCGCGTCGTCGTCAATACCGGTCGCGCACTTCAACACCAAATCGCGAGGAGACCGGTGCACGCGAGCGGGCGGAGATGTCCGGCCGCCGATTCGCGCGGAGAACAGCTGTAACGATATCGTCGATCGCGATAACGACGCGACGCGACGCAACGCTCCGTTTCGCGTACCACTGTCACGAGCTACGAGGCGCTCTGCAGCACGGCGGAGAGGCTTCAGCGGCCCTCGCGGCGCGTCAGTGGGTCCGCGTCAGTGGGGGCGAGAAGGAGGCGCGCGGAGGCTGCACGGGCATAGCGCGCGACATAGAAGCGCGAGAGCGGGAACGGAGTGGCGGAGAGCGAGAGAAGGAGTGATACGGAAGATGGAAGAGGGAGAGAGGTGAAACGCGAGCGCGAGTACGGTGGGAAAGCCCCCTTCCCCCTCGGAGAACGGCGAGCATACAATGGAAATAATCACCGCGTTTCTCGGAGCGTCGGCTGACTGACTGAAGCCCCCGAGGACCGACCGGGATGAGATTCGGAAGGCGCTGGTGGTGGCGGCGGTGGCGGCGGCAGCGGCGGCGGCAGCAGCAGCAGCAGCAGCAGCAGCAGCAACGGCGGTGACGGCAAGCAGCAGCGGCGGCGGCGGCGGCGGCGGCGGCCGGCGCTTCGGCGCCCGCGCGTCGCACCACTTTCGCGCCCCGCTACTGTCCCCTTGTCCCGCTCGCACCCTTTCTCGCCCCTCTCGCACCGATGCGCTCCCTCTCTCCTTTGCTTTTGTTACCGGCGCGTTCCGTCTCCCTCTGTCCCACCAAACGACCGCGATCTGGTTTCTCGCTCCCTCCTCTTGTTTCCTATTGCTCTTGTTCTCGTTCGTCTCGATCTCTGTCTCTGGCCCACGTTCTCTCGTCATCTCTCCGTCGTACCGTCGCTGTACAGGCGCCTCGTCGTTTGTACGTGGCGGCGAGCTCTGCCACACACGCCACGCCTCTTTTGGGGCCTAGTCGCCGCCTCCTTTCTCCGACACCCACGCCGAGACGGGTTCTGCCCGCCACTGCCACCGCTACCACCACCACTTCGTCGTTGGTACCTCCACCACAACCACCACCGCCACCGACTCCCGACGTTGTCCTCGCCGACGTCCTCGTCCACGTCCTCGTCCTCGTCATCTTTGTCGACGTCGCCCCACTGTGTACCGACGCTCGCCGTCACCGACAGATCGGCATTCGCTCGCCTGTATGCGTGATCATTCGCGGTTGTTAGATTCTATACCTGCCCCGCTCCTTTCCTCCAGCCCGACATCCTAAGGCACTACCAGCTCGTATCTGAGCGTAGTAGTAACAACGCGGATGGACAGTTACGCGCGCCACGGTAGCTGCGCTTGTCCCCCCTTTCTGCCCCCTACTAACTACCACCGGTCTCGCTGCTCAATGGGAGAGGATGGAGAACGCGATTAACGCGTAGCACGTCACGTGGCGTGGAAGAACGCGGTGCATCGCCGCGATGCGCAACGCCGGAACGAAGCGTAACGTACGGACTCGGTGAGGGATGCGGCGTCGCGAAACGAACGTTCGCCAAATTGCACCGGTTTGTCAGTATCGCAGTGTAACGACATTCGTCTCGAAACTATATTTTCGGCCGGGACCAAATGGCATCTGTCATTGCGATACGTCACACTTTGATCTTATCTCTTGAAATTGTTTGCCTATATTTATTTGCGACATATTTTTCTTTGCTCTCTATTAATTTGTCAATTAATGAGTGGAAGAAAACACAAATAATAGTTAAGTCAATGCAATGTTAACTTCAAAAGCAAAAGAAGCAAAAATCAAATATGGTTCGTTGAAATAAATACATAATAAATTAAAGAAAATTCATGTCTCGTTGATTCCATCCGCGTTAGTTTGCAAAATGATATTCTTTTTACCTCTATTAAAGTCGATTGCAGTTTGCCGTCAATTTGCATTGCGTTCGCAATCTTATTTCTCATCGCGATATCTTTTCTGTGATAAAATAAAAGAATAATTAAAATATTTGTTATTGGAATATATAAAAATACAATTTTCAGGCTAAAATATAATTAGAACTAATTTTCTTAATTTTAAAAAATTGATTTAATTACCGTTACGCTATTTACTATTAACTAATGCTTTTCTCGTCAAAAGTTGTAACAATTTCGCATTCTATTATATTGTTCGATAGATTAGTAAAATTAAAATTAAAAATTCATCTCCGAAAAATACAATACTTTAGAAAAAGGTGATTTAAATTGAAATGCCAATGTCGCAAAGATGCAAAGTCGGTGATATCGGTTTCAGGTGATTCGCCGCGCGCATTGTGTATTGTTCGGCTTGGAGGCGGTGGCACAACCCTCTTGCCGGCGAGCTCGCTTTTGCCTCTGGAACGGACCCGGTTGGAGGTGGTGAGAATCGACCAATGGGGCGCGAGGCACACCCGCGCAGATCACAATGCTCATTGTTGTCGTCGGGCTATCCGCCCACATCCCCGTGTCGCGTTTTCCACCAGTCGTTGTAGCTCCTGTGGCACTCGCCCAGGTAGGAATGCTCGAATCGACTCCAAATTGGGACGAGCCAAAACGTTTACCGCCATTACGTTTTGGCCGAAACGCATTAAATAAAATAAATGTCATTCTATTCTTATCGATGATTGACCAATGTCAATGTGAGTGTTAGATTTTCGAAAATACTACTTAAAAAATTAATATCCTCTTAGATAACAATATATATCTAATATTATATTCATATCTCATTTATAAATATTAATATTTTATTAAATGGTTGTGAATATTGTGCTGTAAGATAATGTCTTTATCAATTTGGTTATCGTAAATGTTGATAATTAATTAGTATATTTCTCGAATAAATCATGATTGCTAAACCATTATTTAAATAAGCATATCTAATTTCAAAAATATGTAAATTTCCTGCTAAATATTCATTAAAGTATGATATATCTATTCTATGTCTTCAGTATGATCGTAGTTTCATAATTCTCACTTGTAATTAAATCGGTATATACACGCTTATCGCGTTGAAAACCAAAGAATAAATTGAAAATTAAACGAGATAGAGAAACCATAAGAGAAACTGTAAAATAAAACTAAAATTATATTTGCAATTTATACTTCTCATTTCTTATTATTTTCAATGTTCATGTAATGTCTGATCCATTTCATTCGCTATTCGATGCTATATATGTCAAAATCGTATGCACGCGTCGCCCTGTGACATTCCTCGCAACCCCCTGTTCTTCGCAGAGAGAAACGTATGAGAACGACGTTGGGTCGTATCTCTTTCATGTCTCCCCGCTACCGTCATTCTATCCTCCTTTTTCGTATTCTCCGTACTCCAGCGCACCCTTAACTAGAAGCTCTTACCATCCCCCGAGCGTACTTCGCCGCGATCACCGTGTAATTCGTCCATCCGCTTCCTCCTCCCTAGCGTCTGACCCTTTCCGTGTTAGACCGCAAATCGATGTTCTTTTCCTCCCGATTAAGATCGATTGCGGTTCAGCGTCAATTTGCGTCGTCCTCGCAATTACATCGCATGATAGTTTCCTCTTCGCGACAGGATAGGATCGTTTAGAGACGAACAAAGAGTATAATGTTACATTTTGGATATAATTAAAAATAATACCGATTCTTAATCGATTAATTTTTTTCGTTAATTAATTTCATTAATATAAGACAAAAACCACACGGAATATGACAAACTTGATATTCTTTTATTTGCATAAAAGACAATACAAAATTATAATTTTGTAATTAATTACAAGTCGGATAAAAATTTGTATTATACTAGCTTGGTAGATGTAATGATAATTAATAAATTTCATATAACGAAATTTAAATATTCCAGATGCATGATTTTTATATTAATTAAGCGTCTGAATTTATAGCTATTTCCTATCGATGATAAAACGCAAGAATATTCTCATTATGAATATTCTCTATTAAAATTGTAACATCATATTTTATTTTATAATTCATAAAAATTTTTAATTGCCTTTAATCTTTTGTTTTTATGCCTCTACTTTAAAAGATTTTCGAAAGATTTAATGATATAAATTGCAAACCAATCTTTATTATAAATAAATGAAAGATTACTAAAAGAAAAACAATATTAAATATTCGTGTATAATTATGATATATCTTAAACAAAAGTTAAAATTAAACAAAAATAATCAGGAAAGACTATTATTCTTTACTTACACTTAGTAATAAATTTATCTGCAAATTCCAAGATTATCTGTAAATTTATCTGGAGTTCTTAGAGTTGTCTTCACAAATAACGAAATGATACGTGACTATCTTATAATTAACTAAATTTTTCAACATGTTGTGACAACATTGCGCTGCGAGTAAAGCTCTGCAAGTGCAATAAAACGCGCATTGTTGGTGAACATGTTGGTTTTGCTCCGTGTTTAAGCTGAGACCGGAGACCATACATTTTCCGCTGCGGGCGGGTGCGGTTAGAAACGCGAGATGGGCCATCGTTATGCATTGCACGGGAGCAGTATTAACGCGGTGGCACGCGGGATACCGTGCTATTCCGGTACCGGTCGCGGGTGCGGGAGCCGACAAGAACAATGAGTGTTGTACACGTTCCGCGTATTGCTCGTGCATCCTCCCGCAGGATATGTCGGGCTCTGCAGTGGGTGTAGAAGAGAGAGAAAGGGAGAAAGAGAATAGCAATCTCGCGACGGGGATGAGGGAGAGATAGGGAGAGATGCGAGGAGAAAGAGGAAGAGAGAGAGAAGCGAGATTTATGCGAGGCGGCAGCGTCGGTGGCGTCGGAACGTTTTGTTCATGCTGCTGAACGTCGCCGTCGTCGTCGTCGTCGTCGTCGTCGTCGTCGTCGTCGTCGTCGTCGTCGTCGTCTTCTAGTTGTCGACGACTACGACGACGATTACGACGACGACGACGGCAACGACGACGGCGATGATGACGACGACGAAGAGGCACAGATGAGAGAATCTTCGTGTAGGAGGAGGAGAACGACAGGCAGGAACGGACGCAGAGTTGAGATGAAGGAAAAGGAAAACGACGAGAAGGATGACAACGCAGCCCTGGCCGTTTGTGAATGAACATTGGCTTGTGAGCATTTCCGGCCGCTCGCGCTGGTCTCTATCTCACTCTATCTCGCGATCTCTTTTTCTACTC